GCTCTCTCTGCACTAGTTGAAGCAGAACCATCTTTAACAGTTGATGAAATTGCGGAACGTTTAAATTCATCCCATGGAACTGTTCATAGACATCTACAACAAATCGGAAAAGTTTCAAAGCTAGGAAAATGGATACCACATGAACTGTCAATAGCTAACCAACAACAACATGTAAACATTTGCACGTCTCTTTTATCCCACATTACTTTGGAACCTTTTCTTGATCGGCTGGTTACTGGAGACAAAGAATGGATCTTCTATAATAATGTGACGAGAAAAAGACAATGGACAGATCGCAACAAGCAGCCAAAACCGGCTGCAAAAGGTGGGTTGCATCCAAAAAAATTCTTTTGTCTGTTTGGTGGGATATGTCAAGTGTAATTCACTTTGAGCTGTTAGAACCTAATCAAACAATTACAGCTCAAATGTATTGTGATCAATTAGAGTGTTTAAATGAAAAAAATTGACCGTCATTAGTGAACAGAAAGCAGGTTCTCTTGCAACATGACAATGCCAGACCACATGCTGCAAAAATAACTATAGAGAAACTCAAAAGCTTCAACTGCAAAATTTTACCTTATCCACCATATTTGCCAGATATTGCTCCCAGTGATTATCATCTTTTTTGGAGTTTGCAGAATTTTTAGAAGGGAATACTTTTGAGGATGAGAATAATGTAAAAAAGGCTATTTCTGAATATTTCGATTCAAAACCGAAATCATTTTACAAAAATGGGATTAAAAAGCTACCATCAAGATGGCAAGAAATTGTACAAAATAATGGTGAATACATTATAGATTGAAATAAGATTTAATTAAAATTATTTGTTGCTTTTTTTGTAGATAAAAATACGCATGAACTTATGGACTGACCTGATAGCAATTTAGCGTTTTATAGATCAACATGAACGTCCTCATTATTCGCATATGTTGCTAGTGCCGTTGTGGTCAACTTTTTTCTTATCAAGTATTCATGTTCTTTCATCCTCACAGGGAGACCTCTTGCGGTTGCTCCAATGTATGTTAAAGCATGGTTAACCCGATGATCTTGAAGAGGAACCGCATAAACCCTGGAGAGTTAGAATCTTCTAGGATAAAGGCCTTTGCAATGCAACATGGATACCCGTCCTCTTTGGTCAAGCATCTCATAAACCAATATGTAAATAGGAGGGAGAGGAATATGCCACAAGATGAACAGATGAGGGTTATCACATACAACAAAACATTTTCTAATATATATAGAGAGATTGCAAAAACTACTAAAATACACCTAGCATATCGATGCTCTCCTACAGTTTTTTTTCTTATCAGAAATGACAAAAACCGTATAGAAGATTCTAACTTTCCAGGGGTTTATGCAGTTCCTCTTCAAGATCATCGAGTTAACCATGCTTTAACATACATTGGAGCAACCGCAAGAGGTCTCCCCGTGAGGATGAAAGAACATGAATACTTGATAAGAAAAAAGCTGATTACAACATCACTAGCAACATATGCGAATAATGAGGACGTTCATGTTGATCTACAAAATGCTAAATTGCTACACAAAATATCAGATAATACACAACCTTGAATTGCTGGAGATATATAAGGCAATTAGAAAAGGGGTCGGTATTAATTTCAAAGAAACCGATACGCTTTCTGCAGCATGGCGCACCATATTTGAATTAGATCTCAACGATTGAAACACGCATCAAAGATATTTTAAATTACGGAGGATATTTATGTCATGATCTACGTGAAATCAATTATTTATTCTGATATGTTTTAAATATTTTACATATTTTCAACTTTAACGCAACGTATTCAAATTACTTAGTTAAACAGAACTTTCAAAAATATTCTATTCTTCTAGCCGTTAGTTCGATATCGTCAATACCTGAGGATGTCTATTACATATAGATGAAAACATTTGTAGAAAAAATTTTTCTGGTTGGTTATGAACTGGTAATGGTTTATTTGGTGAGTGTTATATAATTAAGTATCCAGTTTTTTGAAATACAACAAATTTGTTAATTTATTAAACATTTTTTAGTTGAGAAATTTTTCAGTACAGTCGACCCCCCCTATAACATGGTAGATACGTTCCAAGTTTTATGAATCCAACTTCTAGGAGTCCAGCCAATCACAGCCCGGCACGTATGCAGTTTATGGACTATGGCTGTTTGAAAGGTTTCTTCCATAAAATTAATCGATTCTAGACTAATTCTACTCAACATTTCCAAAATACGTATAATTTTTTGGGAATAATCCATATAAACTATGCTATAAACAAAAAATTGTAGGATTACTTACCAAGTATGCACCGTTCGACTACGCTGTTGCTTAAGCTTGTTTTCGTCACGGAGATTGTCATCAAATGGTGCTCGCGTGCTTCCTGATAAATTATTTTTTTTGCGAAAAATTTGCTGAACTTTGGAGACATCATTAATATAAATATAATTTTTATGGACGTTAAATAGTAAATGGTTTTTGGTAGGTCCGCTGCTTGTTCAAACTCAACGGTTTGTGCAATCCTGGCGCAACACGAGTCAGCGATGACGTTTTATTGAATTATAGGAGTTTTTTTAGCATGTTTGTACGAATACTGTCGCAATTTTTTTCGCCGTGATTAAGGAATCCGAATTATAGGAACATGTGTTATAGGGGGTCGACTGTATTTATGTAAAACTGTATATTTCAAATTTTTTTAGGTATTGAAAATATAAAATTATATTATTTGAATGCAATGGTGTCATTAGGGTTGGTGATCTCATTTTGTACCAGATCATGTAGAATTCTTAGTAATGTGTTTTATATGTACTAATGTTAACTCATAAATCCTAATTCTTGTATATTACTGAATGTAATGGCAATAACGTAAACAACTAGAAAAATTAAAATTACATCTTTAAATTACAACATGATTTGCACAGCCTACATTTATTTATTTATTATTATTTTTAATTGTATTATATTTGTAAAATGTAATTTGTAAAAATGTAAGAGAATCAGTCAGAAAAGTGTTAATTTCTATAAATTATTTATTGAATATCCTATTTTCATACATTAAATTAAAAATTCTAAAAACAGAACAAATTTACTTCAAGTACTTTTGTTGAAAATCAATGAAATTATTTAAGTAAAAATATTTTTCTAAATATTTTAATATAAAATCTAAACAAATAACATTGTCAGTAAAATAATTCAAAGTACAAGCGTGATGTGTGTACAATAATTTTCAATATTAAAATTGTAAATTTGTATATTTTGAGATTGTAAAGGAATAATTTTCAAGCATCTAAGAGAGAAGCAGTAGTAAATAAGTGTAAGTACTAATAAATTGATAGAAACATCATGATCAATGTTTATATAATAATACTTATATACAGCAATATCTTTTCTCATACTTCTATTCTATTGTTATAGAGAGGAAATTTGAAAGGTTGTCTTCTTTTATTTATTTTAAATCACTGTTTTCCTTTGGCCATAAAAATGCATAAACTATTCTTGAAGAATTCAATCAGTACTTAAGCATTGGGAAAAAATTGAGAGCATAATGGAGCTGTTTTGACAGCTGACATATATATTTTCATTCTTGTTTATGAAAACAATTTTAATTTAAATTTTCAGTTATTTTAAATGACCTTATGCTGATTTAATATATCTTAATATTTTCAACATTTATTGTTATATATTTATGGTTCTTTAACAAATTTTATTTAATATTTACATTATTAATTCTTAGATTACATCTTGGCTTTCTCAAGGAAATGGAGTTACATATAAGTAAGTGATCAATAACAGAGAAGTTTGTATTTGACTAAATATCAATTTATCTAATATATTTAATTATTAATTGATATTGTTAAGTCATTATAACTAAACTTTTAAATTTATTTGTATAATTATAGATACACTTTTCTGTTTTTTCTGTTTTTGCTTTATTGGATATCAAAGACAATACAATAGAAAGGTTAAAGGGCCACACTCATAGGTATAGCCCAGAAAAAGATGAAACGGAAGGAAGATGTGAAGTTGAAGGGGTGAGAGGGAAGAGGAACGTAAAGTGAGATAGGAAAGAGGAAAAAGAGATTACATAGGAATTGGGGCACTGGCAACACAATTATAATAAAGAAGCACATTATGAAGAGTTGAAAAGCAAGACGTATGACGAATAGTTGCCCAAGCAGATAGTATGATGACAAAACTCTGTGGAAGTGATAAAGTACCAGATTACAGATGGGAGGCTGAACAACAAGGGCACAGCAATAAATCTGGAATGGCTAGTGTGACAATTAGTCTAGCACATTGATGCTATGGGCAAAGTCCCCAAAGGTACTGTGGATGGTCTTGTTATTTACAAAAGTCTTGAGCTCGCAGGGCCAATGAATCCCTTCAGTGAGAACAGTATTAATGAGACTCCTCCTTTGAGAAGTATAATGAGGACAGTAATAAATAATATGGAATGGTTCCTACATCTCGTTGAGAGAGCAAGTGCACTGTCCATTGCCCTTGGCAAGTGTCTTTGTCCATTGCCATTATGGAGAACTGCAAGAGGTAACTTTAGAAGTTACCTCTTGCAGTTCTCCATAAGGTCAAAGTTACCGGTCAACAATTGAGTAAGATGGAAGGAGGAGAGCAGATACTTGTTGTCCCTTCTGATAATAGCATTGGGAATAAACTTGTGGGTTAACCTACCTGTGGAGCTGGCATTCCACCTTTCCTGCCAGTACTTCCAGCAGGCCAGACTAATCTGATTGGAGAACCAGGTGGGAGGAACATTGCTGTAAGTGCAGTGGTTGCACCTATCAGGGGTGGAGCAAGCCAATAGATTTGCCCTCTCATTCCCAGGGATACTAGAATGACCCTTCACCCAAATAAAATTGAAGTCTATATCCTTCATGAGTAGAAGAAGGGTTTGGACAGTTTCACTGACAATGGGGAGTTTTATGTTGAGGTTTTTAAGTTGAAGGAGGGCAACTCTACTATCTGTAAGAATGGTTGCTTTATTGTATACCTAGAGTTGGCATTATTTTTGATTCATCTTAGCGCATTCCTGATAGCCAGTGATTCTGCTTGGTTAGCCATACAGTGGGGAGCCAGCATATACTGGGCCTGATAGACATTTATGTTGTTGTAGACCACCATGTTGGAGGAGCCCACCCCCTATCCGACTTAGAGCCATCTGTATAGATACAAAGGCCAGTGGGGACACAGGAACTGTCCATGAAGAAAAGATGATCAATGGTGAAATTGGGATGTAAGACAAAAAATATCTCACTTAACATCTAGTACTCTTGGGTCTCTCAGCCCATCTTTAGTGATACCCAAGACAATTGTAACAAAAGTGCAGCATGAATTCTGATACGCTTTGTCAATCCATACCATCTGCCAACTCCACCTATCTACTGCTAGATAGATTATGCAACAGGCTTACTGTCTTTTCCTCTCACTAAAAAATAAGTACTCACTTTATAAACATTTTAAATTTCTCCTTTAATTTCTTATTTACCTCAAAAATCTCCTGTTAGTCCTTTAACTTGGGAAAAACATATTTCCTAAATCTAAAAACTTCCCTAATCAGATAATTTTTTGTTTTTGATTTTCCAGCAAGCAGAGAGACAGAGAAGTGTACGCATTAATATCATTGGAGAGATTAATGAATTGATTGGTATGATTATAATTAAAAATTGTATAGTTGTCATGAAAATAACTTCATAATTTTTAGTGAATTATTTAGGTATGTTTTTCAATACAAATTTCTATTGAACTTTTCTTAATACTTGTAAAATTAATCACATAAAAATGAAATTAATTCCAACCAACAAAGATTGAATACAGTTGATGAAACTTAATTCAATTCCTGTATATAAAAATTTTAATTTGAAATTAAAGTAATAATTTTATTTATTCATAGTAAGGATGCATCCCCATTATTGGTGGTACCTACAGAATTTCTTAATTCTGTACAAAAACACAAATACAAATTATAATAAAAAATAAATTAATTTTGTTTCTTTGTACTATCTTGGTTATTATTTTTTATGTAATAATATCAATAAATTAAGCATTTTCTATATTAAATAAAAGTTTCTTGCTTAATAACATAAAAGAAATCCCTTTCATCTCAATACATTCTAAAAAACTATAAAATAGAAATTAAATGTCTTGAAGAATTTAGAGTTTGACAGTATTACAATTATCTTTTATATCTAGTATAAGTTTTAACTGTTAAGTAATTACAATGCATTCTTAATTGTGTGTAAAGTTTCTTTACCTTAAACAGGAGTTTAATACTCAAATAATTTGTTATTACTGGATAATTTAACAATTATTTATAATAAGCATAATATTTAAATCTTGTAATGCTTGTGCATCTTTCAATATAGAATTAGTTACACTAGTTACTATCCATTAACAAACTAATTTAAAATCTAAAATCTTTATCACTAATCCTAAATAATAGTGAATTTACTCCATACTTAGATAACATTGTTTCAATCTCTGCATACTAATTTATTATCCCTTCTTTGTTTTATTATACCTTATTGCATATCCAGATATTTGATGCTCTAATTGAAATAACTTATATAAAAACATTAATTACAATGACTCAAACTTTTNAAGACTATTGTATCGTTATAAATTATTTTTTTATTTTGTACGAACAAAATAGATATATTGAAAAATATAAAAACAATAAAAAATTATACTTCAGAAGTTAATTTAGTATCAAAAACGTAAAATATTTGAGTAGCCCGAGACATAGCCAAAGATTACAGCACCACAGTACTGGCGAAAATTTAAATTTGCCGACTGGAATTCTTTCGGATGATTGACGTTTCGGATGATTGACTTTCGGATAATCGATGCTCTACTGTATTATTATAAATATTTCATTTGCTAATTTTTCACCTTAATGAAAAATAACTACTTTTGATTTATAATAATTTATAACTTGCTGTTTCTACAATATTCAGATACTATATTTATCTTCCTATGTAAAGCTGCCTGTTTGGCACTATCAAAACATCTACAGAATTTATAATATATATTACTTAATTTTTACATCATCATTGCAGCTTCAACTCTTATAAAAAAAAAAAGTGGAAAATTATGTATCATAACATTAAATAAGACAATAAGGATTTTCCTTAAAGCAATCCATATTATATTGCTATTGATTTATACTAATAAGTATTCAATTGTTGCATTATATAATCTAAATAAAGTATTAACAATCTTAACAAATTTCAGGTAAAAATAATTTTTAACTTTGTCACATTAATGTTTTATTTAAACTTTACCAAATGCCTTCTCTAAGTTCAAAAATAATACATATAACTTTTGCCTTTTTTTAAAAATTGATATTCAATTGTTGCTTTAAATGCAAAAAGTTTGAATTGAATATATTATTAATACTTTTATCCATAAATGAAAACTAGAATTTTGATGTAAATTGATATTTTTTACAACAATTAACAAAATATTTTGCTTAAATGTTTCCTGAACACAAATAACAAACCATTAAGTCTGTAATTTGATGTGCTCAATTTTTTATTTTTCTTATACATTCTAAACATTACATAATTTCAACTGTCAAGTATTTCAACATTGTTATAATGTATTGAAATCCCTTATTCAATTCTCCTAATTGGAGAATTGAATAAGGGATTTCAAGGATGGCAGCAAGTTCAAAAAACCAACTGGAACATTATTTTCTCCAGGAGGCAGATTTAATTTTCATTTTAATAATTAATTTTTCTAAAATTTCTGCTTTAAAGTTTATGTAATAAAATATGATTTTTTTTGTAATTTCTTTGCTTATTTCTGTTTGCTCTAAAACATTTTAGGCTCTACCATTTATTTTTAAATCTTTGCTTATCCTCCTTAACTATAGTATCAAAAATTTTATTATACAAATTTTCATTCCCATCATTATCACCATCAACACAAAACATTACTTTCTTCTTCCCTTGGATGCTTATATAAATAAAACATTTTGTTTTGTATTATAATCTTGAATTCTTCTCATAAGTAGAAAAAGAAATGGTCTTATTTATCTCCCTGAAGTAATTTGAAGATAAAATGAGAAGACTACTAAATTTTTATTTGATAATTTAAAAAAATATTTGATATAAATTTCAATATTAAATTAATAAATACTTTTTAACTTGACAAGTTAATGAATTTTTGCAGCAATTAATTTGCTGAATTTGCAGCAAAAACTCAGTATAAGTATTATATTATGCATAGATGAAATTTTATCTTGAATTTTCTACAATTGCAGATTCATGTAATTAATTTTTTCTTATCAATATAACCAATTGAATAACTTAATAAGTTGACAAGAAAGATTATTAATGACAAAAATTAAAATTATTAAGTAATTGTTATTAGCAGTAATTTGTATAACATTGTATGATATGAAGCGATATATTATCTAGCACTGTTAATAATATAATTTTTATTAAAACATTTTAATAATCATACTCTTTTAATTTTACAAAGTTGTTTTTTTAATGATTTTTATATTATAGCATACTTAATTTTTATTTTTTCATACTTTTTACATTTTATCTGAATAAATAAGTTAATTGTATTTTTTCTAGTTGAAACAATCTTTTTAAGAATACTTTTTTTCAAATCAGATTTTAAGTATTCTTTTAATTATTTTTTTAATACTGTAGTATTAATTTGATTAAATTTTATTTTATTATTATTAATTTAGAATGAATGATGATTTAAGGCCAGTAAAATTAAAAAGAATTGTTCTTGGATATCCCTTTCATAATGGAATTTCAGAATTTAAGTTTGACATTTTACTTAGTTATAGATTAGGAAATGTTATTAATACATATTCAGAAAGAAAACCTACTCTTGTTGTAAGTAAAAATATAAATCATTTATATAGTAGTTATTTTTATTCAATGTGATTGAATGATTTCTTGTACATACATAGACACTCTGTGAAAAAACTATAGATTTCCTCTCTACTCAAAAATTATATGTGAACTATAGAGAGGAAATGTATAGTTTACATATAACTTTTTGTCTGTTATTGAGGAAAATCTTAACATTTGCACATTTTTCATATTAATGCTACAAAATGTTTCAGTTAACTATATTGATTATTATTATGCAAATTTGCTTTGTAAATTCATTATAAAATACAGATGTAATAGTTTTAGACTGTTAATTACAATTATCTGTTCAGTGGCTACAATCAATGGTATGCCATGACATTTCATGATAGAGAAGCTGTGCCAGCCCTAGATAAGATAAGTATAAAGTTAAGTAGAGTGCTGTCTGTTCAAGACAGACTTAGCCCTATAGTAAGGAAAAGAAGTGAGAAGAAAAGTAAAAGTAACTAGATTAAGAAAAAAAAGGAGGGGAAGGAAGGCAAGTGTCGGATTCCATGGGCATCAGCACCGCATTTATTACAAAGAGAAATAGGTACATAAATTGGCTACATTGCCTAATATACATTACAGTATTTACATACTAATTGATCCTGATATATTTATAGAGTACAAATGGTTACAATAGTTTATACACCAATCAGGTTACAGAATAAACAAAAAAATTTTTTAGTAGTTTTACAGAAAACAGCAACTTGGTTACATGGCTAAAAGATACAATATTAAACTTAATTATCAATTTACATTTTAAATACAAATATTAAAACAAGAGGTTACCATGGTTACAATTCCTTATAAAAACATAGTTTTCAAAGATGAATTTAATATTTTAGATACAGACAAAATGGCTACCATGACTAATAACAATGTGAGCATTACAAAATGGGCAATTATATTACAAAAGGGAAAACAAGTGGCTGCAATGCCTAGCAGAGAAACAGTATTTACATGGTGGTCTGTTCATTTTAGGATCCATCTTTGCTATTGGTGAAACTTTCATCACTGATATCCTCACTTGTATTGTTTTCAGAATCAGGTAGGCTATTCCTTGTCTGTGATTGTTTACTGCTTTGTAAAGGGATTACTAGTTTCCCAGTATTTTTGATGAATTCAGTGAGATGATGCAAGAGGTCCTTGTTGTTGAATAGGTCATTTTCCTGTGGAGGCCAAGTCATTCCCCTCATTATGCATTTCCTGTAAAGCTGCTGCCATATATCTTCATGTAAAGTACTAATTTTATTTTATCGGATTGCTCTACAACAATTCTAGTATCAGAGCCTTTACCTAACGGGTACTTTACGCGGGTTCGCGTTTGTTAGTTGCCAGGCCTGGACTTTTCGCGTGCACCGAAGTAAATTAAGGACAAGTTAGTCAAAATTCAAAAAATATTTAATAAAGATTCTAGAAAAACTATTTACAATATTTTGATGATATGAAACCCTTGTTTGTACAATTACAAACAATTACAAATATATACAATTACAAATATATACAAATTATTGTATATATTTACAATATATACAACAATCAACAAATTTATTCAATCAAATCAAATCCAAAAGTCAACCCGACAAAATTAAATTTTATTCTAACTTAGAACTATTCCCCTTGGAATTCCGACAAAAATTCAATCTTTAACTTAGGTACAGAATTTCTTATAACTATAAATCCTAACTGTCACCTCAATTATACTAGGAACCTTTTTCTCAACTTAAGACTTTTCCTATTCCTCGATCCACAAATCGAATACTGCAATTGCCTTGGACTATTTCCTGTTGGATACCTCGTTCACTGCTACTAGCACACCAATGCTTATTCCTTGCAGGAGCTCACCTCTCCCGTCTTCACTTGAGCTATGCTATTTATAGTCTGAGGTGATGTCACAGTTTCTAAGTGAGACACTCCCCTCATTTACATACTTACACGTAACCTTCACTTTTTTCTTGTTTCTCTGGTAGCTTAATTTCCGACAATACTTTGTTAACCTTTTACAGTCGATTGTTGAACAATTATTGGGATGTTTCCTTTAAGGTTTAACAAGTTCCTAACAGTCTGTGGGGTCTGTACGATCAATAATAAAATCTCACAATTTTATTATTGATCGTATAGGGCTCTTGTATGAGGAGTATGTCTGCATCTAGTTTATTGGCGTTTTCAGTTAGCAATGAGCTTACTGCTTTGCTTTTCTGTAAATTAATTTGTAAGATTCTCATGCTTCGGCTGTTTGTATCAGTTGCAATATTGTCGGAAAGGTTGTACACTTGTCTCAGAGTGTTGTTGCTGCTCTTTTGAGTGGCAAAATTGGTGGTTAGACTGAATGGGTGGTTATCCAGAGTATGATATTGTTGACAGTGACTATATTCCATAATTTGTTTGCTTGATTGTCTGTGTCTTCATTTTGATAGTTTGGGAGCACTGTAAATTGAAAGCATTATGTCTGGTGTCATACCTCTGGTAGTCTGGGAGTTCTTTATTAATTGCCTTACAGTTGGTGCAGCATGGGGGGTGATATAATCTTTGGCAGTCACGAAACCTATGTGCCTTCACACAGTGGCTGCATTTTTGTTTCTGTAGGCAGCTGGTGGAGAGTTGATTATATCTGCAGCACTGATAACATCTTACCAGCGGGATATAATCATTCATGTAGATGTTTGCCCATGACATTGCTGTGTGTTTAGTCCTGATGAAGATGTCCCTTATTTGTGGGGTGGTCAAAAGAACCACATGCCTACAGTTTTCTTTCGTTTTTTTATTTAGGATGGGGTGCTAACCCATGTCAAGCTGTTATAGTCTTCTTGTTTTACTGCTTTCAATATGTGAGTTGCAGATTTTTTCGGGCCTCTTAAAAATCTAAATTTTCTGTTAATTATCTTTGGAAAAAACCTGAAGAATTTGAACTAGATTGGATTTCACTGATTGTAATAACAACTAGCTTACACTTAAGTGTGAAGAATGCACCGTCATTTACTGTTGTTGACGATGACGGTGAATTGCCTGGTGTGTGAACTGCCTGGAAGGTTGGAGGTCTCCCTTTTCAGCGACAGGTCATTAAACCTGCTCACTGTCAAGATGGCTTAAATGCTTCTTCCCTTTTTAGCGGTAACTGGGTTACATTGTTCGGATTGAGTGGAGGAGGGAGGAGTGCCGTTGGTAAGGTGACAGGTGATATACGAGTAAACTGAGGACACCAATTTAACAAGGAAACAACGATTTATTAGCTATCTACATAGACGGTACAATAACTATTATCGAGGGAAATTTCTGAGTCCTTAAAACACGAAGGGCCGAGAGAGAGTTCACAAAAATTTGTTCCATAACTCTTTAGGTAGATACGTCTTTGGAGGAAATTATATTTTTCTCTTTGAGAAAATAATAGACGTAGGACACAATATTATGAGGATATGAGATTCGTAGGATATGAGATTCGTAGGACACAGTATTAAAGTGATGGCAGATGAACGACTCCCTCGAGAAGGGGAAGGAAGTGGCTTTTATAGTTTTGTTGTGGGAGAATGGTCATGTGACCAATTGTTGTGAGGTAAAAGATATGCGGATGGGTCAAAGTTGTCCCCAGGCCCATGCTAACTATCAACTTTGAAGTTGGAATGTGGGATTGTTTTCGAAATGGACGGATGTTTACTTTGAAAGAAAGGGGAGATTGGAATTTTTCCCTTTTTTTAAGTTAGGTTTTATTTTAGAATTTAAAGGAAAATTTAATTGGGGGTTTAGAAAAATGTGGGATATTAATCGGAAAATTCGGTAAAAATTCCGGATTTCACATGTGTCAGCTCTTTTGCGACAAGGATATAAAAAGGGAGACCACTGGAAGCTCGGGAGTTTGCTCACATAGGTTATATTGGGTCATAGTGATTTCACATCTCCCACATCGGTAGAAGACATCGACCAAGCCCAACTCTAGCATAAAGAACTGTTGTCACCACATATAGTACTTGGAGGTAATTATTTTGATCCAGCGAACTCTCTCTCTACGCATGTAGGAATAGTTGTTAGGGTAAACCTTTTAGAGAAAGGATAGATTGTATAATCGCCATAAGCATACTTATGTTATCCACATTTATTCTTAGATGTAGCCAACCTATTGTAACCTTTTTTATTGCTTAGTTAGTTATATAATAAATGCTTGTTTAGTTTTAAACCTGTCTCATGTCAATTAAAGACGCCTGCCTACTTACCAACGCACTCCCCACTCGATTTGCCCTCCTAGCCATCCAACGATTCCAAGATCGGATTTCATCAACCCGTGCAGAGTAAGTGGTCATTTGGGGATTTACCAGTGAGCTACTGCTAATCTCACAAATAGTTTGTTTTGGCTGTAGATTATTGGAATTATATCTGACTCATCTATTGAATTAGGAACATTTGTGAGGATGATCCTAGGCCGCCTTCCTTCGGAAATTATACTTTGTACGTTTTCAGATATATCAGGGATATCCTTGATAGCCTTTGCCAGGACCTCAGCCTCTTTCTGAGTATCTGTCCGAAAGCAAATTCCATCTCTTTTGACCTGTTTTACTTTTTTAATTTTTATTTTTAATTTCTTGGGCTCTATTTTTTGTTTAATATCATTTTCAATTTTCCTCATGTCAGTTGAGTTTCCTTCCTTGTCTGTTTTAGGGTACAGTAGAAGCGCAGAACTGCCTCCTGTTCCTTCATTATTTATTTTCTGAGCTAGGGAGCGAGAGATTGCCTTAGTGGTCAAGCTTGGACGTATACTTGGGTCTTTACGGAGAATATCAGCATAGGTCGGTTCAGTGTGGCAGGACGCCAATGGCATAGTTTGTTTTTGTTTGGATCTAACCTCTTTTAGAATTCCATGAAGTTGTTTAAAAGATGAGAAAAGCTGTGTCACTTTTTCCCTGATCTCACGACGTTCTTCACTTTTCAAGTGTATTCGATACGATTCTGGTAAAAGGCCCAAAATTGTCACTAACTGTTCGTTGGCCTCACCAAAGATAGTGTCTTCGAGCGCGTTGGTAAGCACCTGAGATTCAGGTTCAGTATTCATTGTGGGGACTTGGCACAACACAGAACAGTCAGTTA